TCATTATAGATAAGCATTTCGGTGCAAAGTATAGACAGGAATGCGAAATGTTCCGGCTGGACTCTGGCTGAATCCTCGACTTGACACTGGATACAATGCAGTCAGGACTCACCCTGGATGTAGCGCAGTTACACTGGGCCCATAACCCTGTCGCGGAGTGCGCTCCTTGCATCCTCAGGTCACAGTTGGATTGTAGCAGTCCAATTGCACCCTGCTGAAGTCCCACTATAGTCACCACACAGACTCAGGTTTAGTGGTTAACTATATACAGTGCAGTTTATTTACAAGACACAGCTCTCACCGTCAAAGTGCTTCGCCAAGCAGTCAACATTCAAGTCAGCACACAATGTACAGTACATTCACAGGTATATACACATAACGACCAATCATATCACTGCTGAGTCACTCTGATAAGACATCAGTATTGCACCAGCCAGAACCGGTTTGCTCTGGTCTCCTGGACTGACAGTTACTCTGACATCTGTCACTTTAGATTGGCATGATCTATTTACATTGTTACCCATGCTTCACACATGCTGAATACTTACATATTCCAACAGGCAGCATAGCTGACATGTAGTAAAAAGAGTTAAGGTGGGATTAGGTGGGGGAACTGGCTGGATCCGGCCCCATCTCAGCCTCCTCCCTGCCTTATCTGTGTCTTGGTGGGACCATTGATGACAAGACCCCTATTTGGACTTTAGGGTCCCCATTGTTCATTTTTGTTTTGATCAGTACTAGGAATCTGGTTCCAGTTTTCAGGGCTCTCGTTCCTTTCACAGACCCCATGTTGGATCTGGACATTCAAGAGCTTGCCAGTCTCACCACCGGAGAGGGAGATCTGGAGAACTTCGAGCGCCTCTTCTCCAAGCTGAAGGAAATGAAAGGTACCGGGGGCACCTTGAGTGGCCCACTCACCTTGTCCCTTGCGATATGCTTTCCATTTGCGGGAGCTGTTCACGTTTGCTTGGTTTGGTTTAACTGGGAATGAGTTTCCCGGTATAGATTCTGTTCGGGTTAACTTGAATTTGAGTGGTGCTTGTGTTTAGAAGGGGAGCAAGCTAGAATGAGAAACATACAGACGTATGAAGCTGCCTTATACCACATCAAACCCCTCAACGTCCGTATTGTCTGCTCAGACTGGCAGCTCCTCTCCAGCATTTCAAGTAGAGGTCTTTCATATCACCTCCTACCTGATCCTTTTAACTGGAGATGCCGGGGATTGAACCTGGGACCTCCTGCATGCCAAGCAGAGGCTCTTCCACTGAACCATGGCCCCTCTTAACACCTCTCCAGGGTCTAAGGTGGAGGTCTTCCCATCACCTCCTGCCTGGTCCTTTTAACTGGAGAGGTCGGGATTGAACCCGGGACCTTCTGCATACCAAGCAGGTGCTTTTCCACTGAGCCACAGCCCCTCTTAACAGCTCTCCAGGGTCCCAGGCAAAGGTCTTTCACAACACCTCCTGCCTGGTCCTTTTTAACTGGAGATGCCGGGGATTGAACCTGGGACCTTCTGCGTGCCAGGCAGAGGCTCTGCCACGAAGCCACAGCCCCTCTTTACAGCTGTCCAGGGTCTCAGGCAGAGAAAGGTCTTTCCCATCACCTCCTGCCTGGTCCTTTTAACTGGAGATGCCAGGGATTGAACCTGTGACCTTCTGCATGCCAAGCAGAGGCTCTGCCACTGGGACAGACGCATGTCTTATCACATCTCTTGCAGCACAACTGGCATTTGCATGATCCAACAACAAGGGAAGTCCCTTTGTCATCATCACACTGCCATCAGTGGAACTGGGGGTACCGTAGCCATCGACCTTCAGGTCTCATGGAAGTAGCGGTGAACACGGCCAGCCCAGTGCAGCACTTCTTGCCCAACTGTGGTTGCTGTTGACTCCGGAGCAAAGAGCAAGGCTGATGAAGCAGCCCTGCAATTTGAACCCACCCAAACATGACAACATCAAAAGAGCCCTGCTGCGTCAGGCCAGTGGTCCATCCAGAGGTCATTTCGGGGGGATCGCGGGGGATCGCAGTTCCCCGGGGTGAGGTACGGGGGGCGGGGCACATGACGAAGCCCCGCCCCCTGCTTCTGGCCGCCCCGCTTCCGGCCCTCATTCAGCCAGGAGGAGGCAGGAGAAGAGGGAGGGTAAGTTGCTTCCTCCCTGCCTCTCCCCACCCCTGCCTGCCTGGGGCCAGGGAGGGCCCCCGCGGGGCTTCCTTGCACTCCCGCCGGCCTTGCAGGTCCACCGCCGGGCCCCTCATGGGACCCGGCAGTGGAGCTGCAAGGCCGACGGCAGCGGCCGGGACCGTTGGGGGCGGGGTGTGTGGCCTTATGACACACTTCCGGTGATGTCAGGGGGTGTGGCCTGATGACACACTTCCAGTGATGTCAGGGGGTGTGGCATATGCTAATGAGTTATGCTAATGAGTTCCCCTAGCTCTTTTTCTACTAAACGACCCCTGGGTCCATCTAGTCCA